TAGATGGGAAGGGGAAGTAGTAAGGAGGCTTTTAGACGATTAGTCTTGGGATTGGGAAAGATAGGAGACTAAACATCTCTATCTGTTGGGGCTTCGGCTTTGGGGGCTTCGGCCAGTGTCTTCTCCTGTAATCGATCACTTTCATCAATAAATTTTCAGTTGATTTCTTGTTAATTTTCTGTAATTGTTCTGGAATTCTGGAGGTTCCTATCAATTATTTCAACCATTAGTTTAATTAATTCTGACTGAAAATCTGAAACAACTCATGAAGTCATCGTGGTGTTAAAAAGGATTTCATTTATTTCTTGATGATAAATTCTGACAACTAAATACTCATAGTGTCCCTCGTGTGTTCTGAAAGTCATTGTGGATTATCAGTGCTCTATCAAAGTATTGCACCTCCTTTCTGCATTTTACTACCCCCTTTTTGTGTTACCATCAGGGATTCGTTGTCGTTGAAACAAACTTCAGGCTGTATGCGTATTCCTCATCAAAATTACATTGTGAGATCCTACGCCTTTTTGCTAGGTAAGCTAATTTAGTTTCTGTTTCCCATGCATTAAGGATGATAAATATGTGACAAGCATATGTCTTTCTCTAAATGCTTTAAACCTTTGACTCGATGGTTTTATTTCAGCATTGAGTCAAATGAGCCACATTTCGACTGAAATAGTCACTAATTTGTTTAAAACTCTACACATGATGTTACTACCTCTGATCTTATAAAAGATGTGTGAAGCATCTAGACCCCTTTCCCATCTACTTTGTTAGCGAAAGGATCTCTCCACGTCATAACTGGAGTCATTGTTTGGCCCTTTTGAGTAGTTTCTGTATGAGGTTATTACTCTGCAAATTAAAAGTGTGCATAAGAGAGGGAAAATTTGAAAAATACCCCAAACCTAGAAATTCCCCTAAGAAGTGTACGTTTCATTTCCAATTGTGGTGCCATTTTTACATCTTGCTGGAATGTTAAGGGGGGCCATTTTCTTTTTAAAAAAGGGGCTGGGTTCGGGGAATGAACCCATGTGTGTGAAAGCATGTCATCTGATATTTTTACTTTTCGTGTATTCATCTATTTGAGTTTTTAAAATTCTACGCGCAAATTGAACTCCTTGTTTCAGCAGTTAATGATATCATTTAAGTGACAATTTGTGGTTGGAACAGAGTGGAGTACCAGCTTCCGAATCTCATTGTTGGGGCGATTACAAAAGAAAGCTTGTACAAAGCTTTTCAAAATGGCATCAGTTCTGATCAGGCAACTTGTAACCTTACTTATCTTCTTTTTGTATTATTTCAAATATTCACTTAAATTGGTTGTGAAAAATATAGTGATTACACTTGAAAGTATGTAGCGCATTATTTTTTGATAAATAGTAGTGGATAAATGTTGTCCATTTCCATAAACTTCTATTATTATGATAGAGAGCAGAGAGATCAAGGGGCGGGAACGGGCTTGGGCCCACCTTCGTGGGCTGGTTGTGGGCTAGGGTTATAGTTTTATTTATTATTAGTAGACTATTTAGTAGAGTTAGTATGGGCTTAATTAGGAATTAATTAATTTGGGCTCGATTAGGGTTTCTCTTAGAAGGCTATTTATACCCCTTGCAGGGTTCATTCTTGATCATCTTGCAGGTTTAGTGGGAGTAGCCACCCCTATTTTAGCCTACAGCTTCTCTAAGGGCGTATTTTATTGGGGGATTGTCTGGGATGGGAGGGGGGAGGGAAGTAGTGATTTTGGTTTTACTAATTTATCTCTATTCTGATAGTCTTAGACTAGAAAATTAGTCCATCCATTCCACAATCATGTTCCCACTCGTTTGTGACACATGAATTAAGAAAATGAAATTGAGTAATTTAGATTTGTTCAGAATGGAACGGAACAAGTGATGACAGATGCAGTAGTATATGTTTTGTTGAATCGTGTATAATCTTTCATCATAACTTTCTTCCTAACCCATATAAAACTATAAGACAAGTTAATCAATTAAATATCACCCATCTTCTCCAAATCCTCAAACCAAACAGGGCTAAGATTTGTTACATGCCGTTTAATACAATGGCTTATGAGTTATGATAATGAAACTAGCAGGTTTAGTTTGAAGTCCAATTTTACGAAAAACATACTTCTGATCTATGAATGATTTGCACAGATAATTTCTTTCCTACAACAGAATGCACATCCAAGGGTTGCTGAGAAAATACCATCTGTTCCAGAAAATGTCACAGATCAGGTATTTTTTCCATGAATAATGATAGGGAGACATTAGATGTGAACATTTTAGGTAGACTTTCCTATGTGCCACACATTAATGGGGTCATGATCACATATCTCACTTTTGTTCAGTCAATGAATGTAATCATGTGTGCCTGCGACATAGTAATATTTTCATAGTATGTATATTAAATGCCCTTGTATCTCAACTCGTTCTTCATTGTTACATGACACTGAATGTGTTCGTTGCGCAAGTTAATGGTTTTCATATTAGCACACTCCCAAGTTTGAAAAACGAATACTTTTTTCATGGTCATTTAGTGATAGTGATGTATCAATTGTGTTACAACAGATTAGGCTGTGGGAGTCAGATTTGAACAGGATTGAAATGACGCCAGCCCATATTTATGAGGAATTTCCCTCAAGAGTAAGCTCCACGCATCCTTATTAAGGCCAGCTCCTTGGTGTTGTTACTTTTAAACCACAAAGCTTTGTTTTTTCAAATCTTCATATGGTAAAATGAAAGCCCGTAACAATAATTCAGTTTTGAATTCCAATTGGCCAAATCACAACATTTCAAGTTTTCAACCTTGAGTTATTTGAAATAAGATTATTGGGCTCTTAATAAAAAAGAAGTATGACACCACCTGATTACCGAAATACATCTGCATCCGCAATTCGAGCCCTTCGTCCCATCCTCTTACACGGACTTTTCTTTTCTGATTCTCCTAAAATAACGTCAACTTTCCTAAATTAAACATTACTAACTTTTGATGTCTATTTTCTCCTTCTACCTATTGTTTCATCTTCTACTCTTTGTGGTGACCACATTACTTTCATTCTTTTAGAAGGCCAAAATAATACTCCGTAACACAGCTGTGATCTCCTTTGTTTTTTCAAAAATCGCGTCAATCCCAATGTATCCTAATATTATGAGACAGATGGAGGAATTAATTACCGAAAGTATTTCCCTCGGCTGACCTTTCAGTATTTTTTGTTCACGGATCGTAGATTTATATCATCAATGCAAAACATGCCAAGTTCTTCCAAATTGTCTCACATTGTTATTGGAGTTAATTACTTTTATTCACCCACAGGATGCTTTCGAGTCTGCTTGTGATTTTGCTAGAGAATATGGAGGACTGTTGTGGGAGGACTCGAAGCGAATGCGGATTATTGTAAAGGAAGAAATTCATGCTATCATGAAAGACTTTGTTCGTAAAAAGCAATAGGTTGTCGTTTAACTTTTTATGAATGTTGTTTAATCATTTCTATGTTCAGTTAGTCTCATTGGAACTTGGAAGTTGGAACTCCAAACTCCAAAGTATGTGGACATCTTTTACCGTCTCTAAGAGTCCTAAGACTAGCAAAATATCTGAAATGTATACTTATTTGGACTTTTCATTTTTTTTTGACGAGTACTTTCATTCTTGATATAAGCATTATTGCATTCATTTGACTCTTATAAATAAATAGGTACAAGAATTATAAATGGAAGATATTTTTTTCTGTTTTCAATTTTCTCTCTCTAACCGATCATAACATATAAAAATGTGAAGAAAGTCATCAAATATTCTTTTATACGTAGTGTTTTTCTTTAACCCCTCAAACTGTAATTGCCGAAACAAAAATATAATAATGGAGCACATTCATAACTAGATAAAAGGTAAAAAAGTTACTCGGCATATTTTGAAACTTCTTTAAAACAACATGTTTTCTTTTGGATGGTTTTCAATTTAGATCAAACATGATTGATTGGATCAGATCAAACTTAAATAAACTAGATAAGACCAAATTTAAATAGACTAGTTTGGATTTGGATAGTTATAAAATACACGGGCATCAGATATTATTTATAGTCATCAATTCACAAAATATAAATTATATCATTTAAAATACAAATTTACATGTTTAGTAATAAAGCACATAATTTCAAGATTCAATAATTACCATATATTTATCTCTTTTGATAACCTAAATTTTAGTTTATCAGGTTTCTCAATATTTTTTTAAGAACTTGTCGCTTTTGATTTTACGTGATGAATTGGATAATAATCAAAATAAGTAATGATGAACTTATTTTTCGGGTTGAATTTATTCAAATAACTGTAAAAAATCATTTTAGCTATTTTTTCATATTTTTTTTCTTTAATCTACTAATAAAATATGTTTTTTCATAATTCAGCAGATTCAACCAATCCAACTTCTGCCGCTAACATTTCATTAATTTTCAATAGATTCAACCAATTCAACTTCTGCAGCTAACATTTCATTTATTTTCAACCGATTCAATCGATTGAACTAATTTCGTTGTTATTAAAGGAAACCTTAATATACTCATAATAGTGCTTTTTTCATAACAATATATTCTGTAGACATAGTATTATTATAATCACTATTATAATCACTGATTGGAGAAATAATCAATAGATTTGGTGTGATATTACACACATACGAATTACTTTGAGTCATAACTCATAAGTAGGAACAAATATTTCTCCACATTTTATACGTTAGTTGTGTGTTAAGATAAATAACAAAACGATACATATAATATACATAGTATATTGCTAATATGTTCTTTCAAAAAAAATACGGAGTATTATACAGTGAGAGATTAAATGATTAATATTAATAATTAAATGTAGAATTATTATAAATGTATGATGATATTTGATATTTTGATTATATCAGCATTAAATGTTAAGTTACAGAATACTATCGTATTATTTTTTAATCATATAATTTATATCAATTAAATTTGGAAATACTACGTAATTCCCAATTTCTAAATCTTAATTCAGACCATGAGACCAAGAAAAGGTCCCCGCTATCCGCTTATCCCTCCGCACGGCCGCGGGCCGCACATCGCAAATCGGCGAGCCCGTGATTCCGAGTCGCAAGGTTGCAGACGATGCAGAGAGCTAGAGATGCTCAGTCTCTGAGACGCTCAGTCAAGCGCCGCCCCGCCGCCCGACTGCCTCCGCTGCCTGCTTCTCTGCCCTCTAATATGCTTGTGGAGACTGGAGTTATGGACCTTCTGCTTCTGATGACTCCCAATCGCCTTAGGTAAGTCGTAACTACTTATATTTTTATTTGAATTTTTATTCTCATTTTTATTTTTATTTGACCGTTTTAGTGTTCCACTATTCAAGTGCCTCACTAATTGTCTAATACGGAGTATGAATTAGCAAAAATGAAAAATGTGATTTTTTGCTAAGATTTTTTTAATATGTAAATAATTTGTGCCATTGTGTGATTTGATTAGTGAAATCGGAAATTAGGATTGTGAATTTCTTAACGTATTACTAGTAATATTGAATTTTTTATTCAAAATAATATATTGATGATTTTGTAAATTTATGTCAATTTAAGTAGGTATGGCTACCCAAATCTACTTCCTAGATCTTCTAAAAAGGCAAAAACAACTCCAAATATTTCTCCTGTTGCAAGAAGAATTTGTTTCTGATGTGCTTGAAATTGAGCTGGATTCAGGAAAACGGAAAAATGCTAGTCATTGGCCATTTGAGGAAAGAGATTATCCTTTACTATCCTTTTGTATGTACTGCTTAAAAATATTGTTGTGAATTTAAACAGATTTTTATCACTATGTTCAAACATTTTACTCGTTTACATTTTTTACATAGTGTTTTAGTTTACAATCGCCCCTTGAACTTCCGTCCTGGCTACGCCCCCCTGCTTATAGCCTTATCACCACCACCACCCCTTCCATCATCATTATCAAGATCCTTAAATTCTTCCTCTTCATCATCATTATCATCATCATCATTTACCTCCATACTTGTTTATTTTCCGTATTTTCCCTTGGTTATTCATCTGATTCATTGTTGACTTCTTTGTGCAGCAGTAAGAGAACTTCTTTGTGCATAAGTTTGAAAAAAAATTAATGACACTGAGAGTTCTTAATAGAATGTATATAATAGGGTGTAAATGATTTTGTTAATGAAACAAAACTTTTTAGGGTTTAGTGTGGATAAATGTTTAATGTGTGGTCCGTTTATTATTTTAAATTAAAAAACTGGGCCCTTTATTGAATGAAAGGGAAAAGGTGCAAATAGGCCCATGTACTAACCAAAAAAGGTCAAATAAGCCCTTATTTAGGAGGCTCTGTCCGGCCGTTGTCATCTGGGGTGGTTCCTGGTGGAATTTTTTGATGACTTTTTTTGAGCATCTTATTCGTCAAGTCTAGTTTACTCCTACCAAATTTCAGCTAAAACTTCAATCGGGAAGGCATTCAAATGAATTCTTGAAGATAACTGCGCTTCTAACAATCGGGAAGCCTCTTATCTTGCAAAAAAAACTTGAGCCTCGAAACCTTCTCTGTACACTTCACCTTGAGGCGGGCCTGAAAACCTGCCCACCCTGTAAGCGGAAACCATACTCATTCATACTCTGCTGCATTGTTTTGCAGTCTTTTGTATCTATGTTTTCCTCCCAGGATTTTGAATTTTTCATTTAATTCAATGTTCTTAACTATTGGTACAAATAAGAATCATGTTTATGTTTCATCTCTTGTTTGTCTGTTTGAGCCATTCTGCAAGTCACATGATCACTTGAAGAACAATAATTAAAATTTTGAATTTGACATCTGGATGCTGCAAACAAATGCATGCGCTTCCATTGAGTTCTGTGTCAAAAACTCCAAAATCCATCAACCTGTACAGATTTGCCTGATCATCTTATGTGTTTTGGGGGTTTTCTCCATAGCTTTGTGCTCTCATTTTCTGTGTGATTTATTTCTTAGGATTTAATTTTGACCGACTTCAATAAGAGTTATTCTGTATAATTTAGACGTAGGAATTCAGCCAAATTATAACTAAATCAGATGATATCTCTCCAGCATTGCCCCACATCTCCTAACTCGACTTCCTTCTATCTTCTTGCACTTTTTATTGGGGATTATTGGAAGCCCAGTTAAGCTGTTGAGACTTAAAATAAAAGATTTCAAATCTCTATAATACATTAATATGGAAGCCTAAATTAGCCAAGTAGTAATTCTATGTTGATTGAGGCACATTACAAGCATTCAGGCAGGAAGTTAATGATATTGAAGTGAGTTTTGGAACTCTAGCAGGATAAGATTGGTAAAATGACAAATAAGTTTTTAAAAGGGTTGAATGTCTTTTGATCACAATGTAAATGGTTTAACTTGTGAGTTTTTTTTTTTAAAAAAATAGGAAAAAAGAAAAAGGAACCTGTAATAAGACACTAGATAATTTTTTTTCTTGTTTTCCTTTGTTTTCTTTCAGGTGTGTGTGAACAACAAGAACAAATCATGCACAACAGTCATATGGAACAAAGGAAGATCCACAAATGCAGACTACACTAGAACACAATTGGAATAGATACGGTATATGACACACACAATGAAAGCTGTTACAAACTTGAAGAAACATTATTTTCCATCTAGAACCTCCTCCACTGTTAGCACACAACAACCTCTAAATCCCATTTTTTCTCACTGCAATCCTCAAAATGTTGGTGAAACTCATTTCATATCTCTAATCCATTCATCTGAATCCACCCTTAAGCTCAAATCCATCCATGCCCAAGTCCTCCGCCGCATCTGCCACAGTGCTGATTCAAGAATTACTACCCAGCTTATCTCCGCCTCTTGTCAGCATGGCTCCGTCAATTATGCCCTCTCAGTTTTCCAATCTTGTGATCAGAACTTGTTCCTTTTTAATGCAATGATCAGGGGACTTTGCAATAATTCGTGTTTCGAGAGCTGCATCAGGCATTTTAAGCTCATGTTAACACTTGGTGTGCAACCTGACCGGCTAACGCTTCCATTTGTGCTGAAGTCGGTTATGGGTTTGGGTAAAAGAGAGTGGGGGGCTGTAGTTCATTGTGGAACATTCAAAATGGGTCTTGATTCTGACTTGTTTGTGAGGGTTTCTATGGTTGACATGTATGCCAAAATTGGGTTGTTGGATCCTGCCTTGCAGCTGTTCGACGAAAGTCTTGAGAGGAATAAGGTTGAGAGTGTGCTCTTATGGAATGTGGCAATTAATGGGTGTTGCAAGGGTGGGAAGGTAAGAAGGGCAGTTGAATTGTTCGAATCAATGCCAGAGAGGAACATTGGTTCTTGGAATAGCTTGATAGATGGCTTGATGAGAAACAGGGAACCCGACAAGGCACTCGAGCTTTTTGATGGGATGGATGAGAAGAACGTGGTTTCATGGACTACTGTGATTTATGGGTTGATGCACAATGGGCTTCATGAGAAGGCTCTTCAGTTGTTCTTTAGGATGCTGGATAAAGGTGTCAAGCCAAATAATTTGACTGTCGTTTCTGCTCTCTCTGCGTGTGCGAAAATGGGGGCACTTGAAGCAGGGATAAAAATTCATAATGACATGTTGAATGGTGGGTTCAAGTTGAATACTGCTGCAGGAAATGCTTTGTTGGATATGTATGCAAAATCTGGGGATGTCGAGTCTGCTAGTCGGGTGTTTAAAGGAATGAAAGTGAAAGATATATGCACTTGGGGTTCTATGATATGGGGTTTAGCAATCCATGGATGTGCTGATAAGGCCATTGAGTGCTTTGAAACAATGAACTTGTCAGGAATCATACCTGATGAGGCTGCCTTACTAGCAGTTCTAACTGCTTGCTCACATGCCGGAAGGGTTGATCAGGGTCTTAAGATTTTTAATAGCATGAGAGCTAACAAGTACTCAGTGATGCCCAGCATGAAACATTACGCCGTGATAGTTGATCTATTTGGCAGGGCTGGGCAGCTGGATGAGGCTTTGAGATTTATTGAGAGCATGCCAATGGATCCTGACCACATTGTATGGGGGGCACTTTTTTGTGCTTGCAGGTCTCATAAGAACATTGAAATGGCACAATTTGCCACAGATAAACTCCTAAAGCTTGCGCCAAAGCATCCCGGGAGCTATGTCTTTCTTTCAAATGTTTATGCCGGTGCTGGGAGATGGAGTGATGTCGATAGAATAAGAACTGTGATGAAGAGTAAAGATGTAGGGAAAGATCCTGGATGGAGTTCAATTGAGTTGGATGGTAAAGTGCACACCTTTAAAGCTGGGGACCATGCTCACAGCCTACTAGCACAGGAGGAAATATATTCAAAGTTGGAGGGAATAATGACCAACTTCTGTTACGATTGATGGTTCCTAATGCACAGCTTTGGTATGTCATCAGGGAGTACATAACCAATGCAGAGGTATGGATTTTGCTGGCATCTGTTCCTCTTGTGTTACTTTTCCTTCACTTTTCCTGAAAGGCATGAAAGTAAAAATATTAAATGAAACAAGGGATATAGTCATTTTCGAAATTTTATTGCCATATTGCCATATTGGTCATATATATGATGCAGGGGAGGTAGTCTGAGTTATCTCATTTTTCTTGGAGTAAATACCTAGGGATTTCTTAACCTCTGGCACTTTCCCATCTCTTATCAGCAGAATATACATTCTCTCCGTCCTGCAGAAACTTCATGTATTCCTTACATGGAAGTTAATCTCCACAAAAACTCTTTTTTTTGGGTAAACCTTTTCCATTTAAATATCATTCCATATAGTTTACATTCTCTCTCCATCATTTCAACTACTTTGTCTTATCTCATCTATTGCTCAGTATATTATATTTCACCCTCTATCTTTTCATTTAAGCTACTTATCTTTATAAGCTTGTCTTACATATCTTATAAGCTTGTCTAATCTTTATATCATTCCATATTTATCTTTATCTTATTCATTTTATCTTACTTTATTTTTTTATTTTTCATGTCTTTCTTCTCTTTTTGGTTCTGATATCATTGATCGATTCATGCTAGCCAAATCTTTTGGGAATAAGGCTTGGATGTTGTTGTTGTATCTTTATAAGCTTGCCTAAATCTACAATATTATATTTTTGCCTTTTATCTTTTCATATTACAGATCATAGTTGTTATGGCGTCGCTGCATCGACGCCTTATCGTCGCCTTGGCGTCGTGGCGCTCTGGACAGGTGGCCATGGAAGCTCGACACGCCATAAGTCAATAGGCGTGACCCAAATCCAATAATTACGAACAGGCCCAAACCCAAACCCACTAATTTGATAAGTGATTAGCGATAACCCATCAAGGTTCGAACATCTTCTTCCCCTGTGTATTTCCGTAGGCTCGATTGCTCGAACTCTTGAACATCTTCTGCGAAAGGTATTTCCGTCGCCTGTAGGTCGTCGCGCGTTTTTGGGATAGACTATTTGTTTTATTTGCTTCGGATTTCACAAATAGGCATCCGTTCAGTTTTGCTTCAGTTACTTCAGTATTGATTTTATTAATTTATTTTGCTTCAGTGTTTGCTTCGCATTTGTTTTAGGTACTTATGTATTTATTTTGCTTCAGTTTTGGGATAGTCATTTGTTGACCGTAGGCCATATATGCGTTAGACTTGTTTTTGTGCTCCAGAATTATCCTCTACTATGTACTGTCTAATTTTTGTATTTCTTCTCTTTGTTGTTCCAGTGGCCTGTATTAATTAATTAATTAATTAATTATATTATTTCTACTTAATATTTTAATATTTTCTATTTCTTTATTTCATTGCTCCAGTAAGCTGTATTAATTTTTTTAAAGTCATTCCATTTAATATTTTAATATTTTAGTGTTGAACTGTGCAGTGTTGTACAGAAACTTTTTGAAAAGATTGTATTGTTACTATTTTAAGAAAAGTTTCAATTGTTTTAATTTTCTAGAAAAAAATCAGTTTTCCCCTTAAAATAGTGAAAATTCAGTTGTTTTTTTATACTCCGTATGTTATATTTAATAATTTTATTGGTGTGTTGAAGTATTTTAGTGAAATATCTGACAATTTCATTGATAATGGTGGATTATAGATTATGTTATTTCTATTTTCTAGTGTTTGGATTATGGATAATGGTGTGATTGTTTTTATGAACTATAGACTTATGGTTATGGTCTTATGGATTGTGTTGTTTCTATGATTACATGTTTTACTACTTCATTAATAGTGTTGATAATAGGTGTTACATGTAGGCATTTTAGAATTTAAACCGTATTATGAATTTATTAGTGTAAGTATGTCGACTTATCGCCGCGATGCCGCCACAACGGGCGCCGTATCGCCATGGCGGTATGGCAGTCCGGAGGCGCCACGCCGCAAAACCCCGCCGTAAGAAATCTGTAATACAGATTTCTCAGACTTCTCCTTATAAGCTACTCGAGACATACTCTGAACTTTGTTATTGGGCAGAGGAAGTATATTTCTAAGAAATAAATGTGTATATCAGGGAATAATTTTTTGACAGATCAAAGGCTATAAGAGCATCCCCAATGGGGATGTGGATTGTACCTCATTAAAAATGGACATGTCACTTGTGCAAATAGTTTGTGAAGCTAATGTGGACAGTGGACACAGACATTTAAAATAATATTTCCTCTCCAATGCAATCGTGTGTTTAAAAAATTACTTTTCCTATGAAGTACTACTTTTTAACAGCCATAGTTTACTCGTTAGTATTACTTTTCTTCTACCGATCTTCTTCAAAACCATAACCTGAAAGTGCAGATGAAAGAAATATTAGTGATACCTACTTACCTAGCCATTAAAAGCAATAATCTCAAGTTGTACAATGTTTAGAACCCCGCATCTTCTTTAAAATATGAAGAAGATTGGTCCGACCTGCCGGATCCCGACCCGCCAAGATGACAACATCTCAAAACGACCGCTTGACAGATATGGTGGCCGAGCAAACTCGGATGAATCAAACCCTAGAGGAGCACGACATGCGTCTGGCAGAGATCGCTGCATCCCTGACAGCGCTTACCAAGGCGCTCATTCCACCAGTCACGACGGAAACAAGCCCGGACGCGGTTGGCAGCCCCACCGTATCTGCACACAGCAGCAACGGACAGCCGCGCAGTGTCACTTCCTCCTTGGCTGCGCTCACAAAGGCTCTCATGCCGCCAGCGGCGTAGGAGCATTCAACGGCGGTGGCTTCACTTGACGCAGCAGCAGCAGCATCTTCGTTCGGAATTGTACTGTGCAGCACCTTTCTCACGATGTTGCTCTCGTTTAACGGAGAATAATCGATCAGTTGGGTTGATAGGGCTGAGCAATAGTTCGAATTGAATTGTACTCCGCTGGGAAAGAAGGTGGCAATCATTGTAGTTTCGATGGAAGGTTCAGCCCTATATTGGTTGACCTGGTTACAAGCACAAAACTCGGGCATGTCATGGAATGATTTTACACACGCACTGGTGGCTCGTTTTGACTCACGGTTTAAGGGCAATTGCTTTGAATAGCTGACCGGAGGCAAGCAGACAGGGATTGTGAAGGAAGGAGTACATCTCAATTTTTCCTAAAGATGCTAGGCAGCCCCTGGAGACAAATGTGAGCCGGTTTCTGGATTTCAACCTCGAGGACAAGGTTGTTCCGAAGGAGGATGGATTGATAGAGTGCAGAGAGATCAAGTGGCGGGAACGACTTAAACAAGTTCTTTCCAATGGTAAAAGGGGGGTTGAATGTGGGGGCTGTTCTTATTTTACCGGGCTTGGGCACACCTTCGTGGGCTGGTTGTGGGCTAGGGTTATAGGTTTATTTAGTGAATGTTATGTTTTCTAGTTTGGGCCTATTATTAGTAGAGTATTTAGTAGAGTTAGTATGGGCTTAATTAGGATTTAATTAATTTGGGCTCGATTAGGGTTTCTCTTAGAAGGCTATTTATACCCCTTGTCAGGGTTCATTCTTCATGATCTTGGAATAAAGTTGGATTTCAGCCTTTTGGCTCTTGGCAACGGTTTTTATCTTTGATTATCTGGGCAACGGTTTATCCCATGATTTTATTTTTCTGTTCACAACAGAGTGACACATGAATAGAGAAAATGAAATTGTGTAGTTCAGATTTATGGAGAATGGAGCGGAGCAAGTTATGAAGATGAAGTAGTATATCTGGAGTTCAATCATGTGTTATTTTTCATCTTCACCTTCTTCCTAACCCAAGTAAACGTGATGAAAAATTAATAAATTAAATATTGTCTCTCTCGTATTAAACCCCCCAAGAAAACACAAAAACAACAACATTATCCTAGTGCCACAAAGACGGTGGGGTAAGGAAGGGCCGGATGCACGCAGCCTTACTCCTTGTACTAAAGCATGGAGAGATTGTTTCCGGATGACCTATGATGAAAATCGCATTCAAAATTGCATGAACTGAGTGCTGCTTCGTAACAAAAAACGCAGACAGTTAGTGAGCCATTTTGCTTTAGTCCATCATATTCTCAAGTTAAAAAATAGTGAGTCTTTGGCTCCATTGGAAATGATGCAAATAAACCCCCCACCAAACAAATTTAAGATTTTTTTTCACATTCTGTTGAATGTATGAATAAATTAAAATCTAATATTACCGAAAATCTGATCCTTTGTATGACATTGCACTGATAGTTTCTTTCCTTTAACAGAACGCACATTCAAGGGTTGCTGAGAATATACCTCCTGTTCAAGAAAATGTCACAGATCAGGTATTTTTTCATGAATAGTATGTTAGGGGCCCAGCCCAAATAGAGTATAATAAAAATAAAGTCTAGTATAAATAGAATGGGCTGGGGGGAAAGGGAGGGAGGCTGTTTTGTAGACTTTGACTTTGGGACTTTGGGAGATCGAGAACTATTCTCTTTCTTTGGGGAGCTTCGGCTCATTGGGGGCTTCGGCCATTCTTGTTACCGATTCATCGATAATAAAATCTTCTTTGTTTTCTTGATTCTGTTTTACCATTTCTCTGTGGATTGTTGTGAATTTCTGGAGGATCCTATCAATTGGTATCAGAGAACGGTAGCTTCTGTGGATGGTCTGGACGAGGACGAAAATGGATTTGCGGTTGACTGAGTTGGAAAATCATCACAACCGACTGGAAGAGAAAGTTGATCGGAATCATCAACGGACAACGGAGATGTTGACAGCGATTATGGCCAGGTTGGATGCCAAAGATCGATCCAGCAGTAGGTCGCATCGCTCATCTGCATCGCATCGCTCATCTGCATCGCATCGATCATCTGCATCGCATCACACTTCGAGTCATCACCATCATCGTTCAACTCTCCATCATCGCTCGCGACAAGCAACCAGTTCAGAAGGATCCGAAAACAATTCGGACTATTCTCCTTCACATCGACATCAACACCGCGATCACCACAGGTATAATCGAAATCATCCTCCGATAGGAAGGAAAATCGATTTACCTCTTTTCAATGGGGAAGACGCCGGCGGATGGTTAATCAGAATGGACCGCTACTTCCGTTTGAATAGGACTGAAGAAGAGGATAAGATTGACGTTGCCGTCGTAGCCATGGAAGACCAGGCCTTAAGCTGGTTCCAGTGGTGGGAGGGACAAGCATTGCAGCAGAATTGGAGTACTTTTACTCAAGCTTTGAGTAAGCGGTTTCAACCTGATCTGGTACAGGATCCGCTAGGACCTCTGTTTAGCCTAAAGCAGAAGGGAACAATTCAGGATTACAGAGATAAATTTGAAAAGGCTATCGCTTCACAAGGCCATTTAACTGAAGAAGTTTTGAAAGGAGCCTTTCTTAAAGGATTGAGAAGAGATATAAGAGCAGAATTGAAGTTACATCGTCCCAGAACATTGGCAGCAGTGATGGATACAGTTTCTGCAATTGAAAAGAAGAATTATGAAACCCTATATGTGAAGGATAAGGAGGAAAGAAAGAGAACAGGACAGAGCTATCTTAAAGGGGAAGTTGGTAGTCGAATTAGTTATAATCTGGCATCTACAAATCCATTGGTGAAGAACTCAGACGGTAACAAGAAGCTGGAAGAAGGATCAAGTTCTGTTTATATGAAGACAAGTCCCAGATTATCACAGAATGAGTTGCAAGAAAGAAGTAAGAAGGGGTTATGTTTCAAGTGTGGTGAAAACTGGAATAGGGGTCACGTATGCAGAATGAAAAATTTTTCAGTAATGTTGGTAGAACAATCTGAAGGTGAGGAGGAATCTGATTATAGTAAAGATAAAGGAGAAGAAGGAATAAATATGGAAGCTAAAACTTTGCAATTATCTGTTGTGGACCAGGAAGGAACACCAACCATGAGAACATTCCATGTCAGGGGAATTCTGAAATGGCTGAATGAGGAAAAGAAGGTGAATATTTTGATTGATTGTGGAGCGACTCATAATTTCATTTCACAGGAGATGGTGGAGGCCTGGAAGATACCTTTTGCTTACATAAAAAGGCATAAAGTGCAGCTAGGGAATGGAGAATTCCTTTTCATCTATGGTAGGTGTGATGGGCTGACAGTGGATGTACAAGGAAATGAAATTCGGCAGAAATTTTATATTATGCAATTGGGTGGAGTTGAGGTCATGCTAGGAATGGATTGGTTAGCTGGCCTAGGAGATATGGCAGTCAACTTTCAGAATCAAACCATCCAATGGGAAGTATTTGGGCAGAAGGCAAATATAAACGGAGATCCCTTATTAAGAAAACTGAAAACTGACAAGAAGGGAGAAGGAAAATTGCTGAAATCCCATGGGTTATATATAGATATTTCAGAAGGAAGTGCTCAAGAGCAGGAAGTTGATGTATTTGGTGTTGCAGCAAGCGGGGCCCTGACCTTCAAGGAATCAGAAAGAGTCAAAATTCTGGATAAAACATCCTGGCAGCAGTGTAAATCTGTTTTGAAAGGTATAGGTAAGAAGATGGAATCAGCCAAGCTAAGGGTCCTGAAATCATGCCAATATTGGAAAGGAAGAAGTGCTAGGATGAAAGAAAATAAAAGGATTATGGCTGTGTCCTATCACCCACCTTGAGGGCAAGGTGGATGTTTAGGGGGGGAGAATTGTTAGGGGCCCAGCCCAAATAGAGTATAATAAAAATAAAGTCTAGTATAAATAGAATGGGCTGGGGGGAAAGGGAGGGAGGCTGTTTTGTAGACTTTGACTTTGGGACTTTGGGAGATCGAGAACTATTCTCTTTCTTTGGGGAGCTTCGGCTCATTGGGGGCTTCGGCCATTCTTGTTACCGATTCATCGATAATAAAATCTTCTTTGTTTTCTTGATTCTGTTTTACCATTTCTCTGTGGATTGTTGTGAATTTCTGGAGGATCCTATCATAGTAGACATTAAATGTGAACACTTAAGGGAGGCATTGCTATGTGCCAGACGTTCATTGGGTCAATGAATATATGCCTGCCCCACATGAATATATTCCTAGAATGTCCATATTTAATGTATTGTTCCTCATTGTTATATTCTTAACTTGTTTGCACAAGTTATTGGTTTTCATATCATCACTCTCAAGCTGGAAAAACTGAGATTTTTTCTCATGGTGATATAATGATAATAAAGTATCATTTATGTTATGACAGATTAAGCTGTGGGAATCAGTTCAGAATCTGAACAGGATCGAAAGGATGCCAGGCCATTTTACTAGGAGTTATCCTCGAGACTGAACTCCGCACATCAAAGCATCCATATTCTTTACTAAAGCCAGTTCGGTAGTGTTGTCTCTTTCAAACCGCGATACTTTGTTTTTTCGAATGCTGGTTTCGTAAAAGACTAAAATAGAAAAATGGTGCAGATTAAAAACTCACAACAATAATTCTCTGCTCATCAAAGCATCCATATTCCTTACTAAAGCCAGGTTGGCAGTGTTGTCTCCTTCAAACCGCGATACTCTGTTTTTTCAAATGCTAAAATAGAAGAACGGTGCACATTGAAAACTTACAACAATAATTCAGTTTTGAATTCCAAGTGGCCATATCTCAACATTTCAACATTGAGTTTTGTGAAATAAAATCGATGGACACTTAATAAATAAGAAGTCTGGCACATGACTCGATGGCACATGACCAAAATACATCTCCATCCACAACACTCGTATGCTCCTCCTTTGTCCCATCCTCTCACATGACTTGTTTTAGGTTCGTCCTAAAATTAAGTGCATTTTACTAAATTAAGTATCACTGACGTTTTGATTTCGGTTTTATCCTTTTTTCTTTTAGTTCACCGTGTTCCTCTATGTGGGACCCACATTACTTCTGTTCTTTTTATGATTCTAAAATAGTTACACAACAGCTATCCTCCTTCGTTTAAAAGCACATGCCAATCCCTAATGTATCCTACATTAAGAGGTGGGTGGAGGAATAATTTACCCAAAGTTTCTACTTTGCAGAACTTTCAGTATTTTTTGTTAACAGATCTATACTTTTTTATTATCATCAATACAAAACATGCCATGTTCTTTCAACTTTTGTTTCGCTTTGTTATTGGAGTTTACTATTTTTCCCCGTTTACAGGATGCTTTTGAGTCTGCTAGTTGTTTTGCTAGAAAATATGAGGACTGTTCTGGGAGGACTCAAAGCAAATGTCTGTTGTTGTGAAGGAAGAAGTTCATGCTGTCATGAAAGATTTTGTTCGTCGAAAGCAATAGGTTTTTGTTGTGTGCTAATTTTTATGAGGGTGTTAATTAATTATTTAGATGTGCTGTTAATACTCTTATTGGAACTTGGATGTATGTGGACATATTTTGGATTTCTGTAATTCTGTCTCTAGAAGAGTTGCAGAAGTCTAAAATGTATACATATATTCATTTAACCTGCTGAAGGATCATTGTGGAAACCTGAGAAAAAACTTGCAATTTTGTTTTATGAGTATTTTTATTTGTGTTCTAGAGGCTTCACAAGTACCTTTGGATATCCCAACCGGCTATACTACACTCCGCCATAGGTAATTTAGGGATGTTTGGATCTGATTTTAAAACTGATTGCTCTTCCATGGAGCAGGAGCAGAAGTTGGAGCGTTTGGGTGAAAGCAGTGCCGGTCCTACCTAAATTCGGGCCTGAGTCAAGCTTCATAAAATGGGCCATGTGTCTAGTATTTTTATTCATTAAATTTTAATGATTAAATATCACAAAATCGCAATTCTTAAATAAAAGTCTTACACCGTAACAATGTGATGTTACACTTTATAAAAGTCTTACACTTTAACAATGTAATGTTACGTTTTGTGAGGATGTACTTTCCGAAGTGGCTGTTTTATTCGAAATCAAGTTCTTATTAATGTCTCATGCCTGACTTTGAGTTAATGATTCAATACGTGATTTCCTTTTCCTCTTTTGAAATCATTAAAATATATAATTTATTGAAATCCTTGGCAATTTATACTAGTAATTTTCTCTACAATTCTACAAATACAAAATATATAATTTGATTAATTGTGAATTGAGAATTCCATAATTGCAATATTGATAAACCTAAATAAAAAAACAAACAACAATCAACTAGCATTTAAAAATTTACATATTAACACATTACACATTCACACATGAAAAATAAATTAATCAATCATACATCACATTTAACATTTAGCAAATCAATGTAAAGTTAGAAAATTTCTGAAAATACATAGGTATAGGTATAAATGTATAATAGTAAAGTAAGAAAAAATGGGCCCCTAATTTTTTCAGTTTTTTTGGGCCCCTGAGGCTTGGGTCTCTCCAACCTTACATAAGGCACGGGCCTGGATGAAAGTGCAGAAGTACTTCTGGTGCTCTAATTTACTCCTAGAAACAATTTTTTAGAACTAGGGGAGACCAGTGATAGGCATACTAGTGATCAGTCTATTAAATATTTCAATAGAGTCTATTAAAGAAGGAATAATGGGGGTAGTTAGTTAGTTAACAACTTTGTTAAATAACAGTAGACTTTCCCTGTGTGGAATATTAGCTATAAATAGAAGTTTGATAGCTAAATAAAGTAGGTTGTTGTTCAGTTGGTTGTGGGCTCAGAGAGTGGGCTTCTCGAACAGTCCAATTGCTTGTATACCTACTTTGATTCCTTCTTATTCGATAATACACTTCCTCGATCTGTTCTTACTTAATTTGAGTAGAATTGTTACTGTTCTACTTAGATTTCTATCAGTGTTCTATCAACCAGCTTTTGAAAGCTGATTCCGCTTCTGCTTTTAAAAAAGAAGCAGAAGCAAAATCTGTCTGAAACACCCCCTTACTCAGTGCCCTCTAAGTTTGCAGTGCCTACTCTTGGTAAAATACACCGTACAGCTGGATGTGCCGTGCGCACGGTACAATCGGCCCTTTTTTTGGGCTCTGCGCTTCTTCTTCGATTGATCTCGCTCTTGCCTTCTTCCTCCACTTCGCACCTAGCTTCGCACCAGCTTCAGATCTCGTCTGGTTCTTCGATCTGGATTCGCACCTGATTGATTATACGCTCACAATTCGTCTCTTTCTCTTCCAGATCGTTGCTCGTCGTTGCCTCTCACTGCTCATCTCCTTCTCCTCTAGAACGGACACAACAGATCCTCCCTCAGTCTTTCTTTTCACTCTTTTCTTTTTTCTCTCTCTCTTTTTTTATTCAATTCTGTTGTTTGAGATTGTGATTTTGGAAGACAAAGGGAGCCTACTGCAGACAAAGGAATCCCTACTGCCATTCATCTCAAATGAGTTTTATATTAAACTCAAATGAGTATACACATAAAAGAAATGAACATACACAACTAAACATTAAGCACATTACAAATGAGTTTTATATTAAACTCAGATGAGTATACGCCTCAAAGAAATGAACATACACAACTTAAGCACATTATAAATGAGTTTTATATTAAACTCAGATGAGTATACGCCTCAAAGAAATGAACACACAAAACTGAATATTAAAAACATTAAAAATGTGTTTTATGTTAAACTTAAATGAGTATAACGTCCAAAATCAATGGACATACACAAATGAGCTTTTGAATTTTTTGATACCCATTTTGTAAATTATGTATGCTCATTTGATACTGCTTTATGCTCATTTAAAATGATGCACATGTCAAATATATGCCCAAAATCAATGAGTATACACAAATGTGCTTTTGAATTTATGGATACTCATTTTGTAAATTATGTATGCTTATTTGGTACTGTTTTATGCTCATTTTAAAATGATGCACATATCAAATATAACGCCCAAAATCAATGAGCATACACAAATGAAGTTTTGAATTTTTTGATACTGATTTTGTAAATTATGTATACTTATTTGTTACTGGTTTATGCTCATTTTAAAATGATGCACATATCAAATATAGCATACTACATCAGATTGACATATTGAAATTAATTGTAAACACAATTTAAGAATTTTTTATAAACGAAAATTAATAAAAAAAACTGAATTAGAAGATATGAAGCAGAGATCACTGGTGCTCATTGTTAGGCTCTTAATACTTAGAAGAACAAACTCCATGCTCATCCAAATTATATCAATGCTCATTTAAGAGAAACCATGAACATCATCAAATTTTCAAAAATGACACGGTCTGTACGGTGCCAGCTAGGGGTGGGCATAACGGTTTGGTTTAATCGAACTGAACCGTACCAAACCGAACTAAACCGAACCGAAACCGGACTGTATGCAATTTGGTTTGAGTTTAATTTGGTACTATTTCTTTCAAACCGTATTAAACCGAACCGAACCAAAACCGATAAAAACCGAACAAAACCGAACCGAACTAAAGAAACTCAAAAAAACTTTCATATATTATTAAAATGGGTGGTTTGATTTGCTTTGGTTTGGGTTCACTTAAGTAAACTGTTTGGTAAACATTTGCTCAAACCGAATGGTTTGGTACTTTGGTTTGGTTTAAAACAAAAAAAACCGTAAACCGAACCGAACAACACACACACACATATTTATACACACACACACACGCACACTTTGTATTTATCTTCACTCTTCATTTTTAACATATAAATAAATAATTTAGAGATGAAAATACATATTTAAGCATATACTCATATCATTTTAACTTTTACACATTTCATACATTCATTATGACAAAGTTAGCTAATACGACATATTTGTATTTATTATGTTTGGCCTAGCAAATTGCATTTATATTTTTACATGATTCATTTGAATATAATTGTGAATATCACAACATTTGTACCACCGACTCTTTTAGGTTTTTTTGAATATTTTATGTGATATTATAAATGCTAATCAACTATCTTTTTTGTAAGAAGTGAATTTTTTGTAGTGATAAAAAAGATGTCATAAAGTTTCAATGGATAATATTTTATTATTTATTTTTTCTATCTTTTATTTCCTTTTACAATTTATTTAAATAATCAATAAATTAAAAAAAAAAATCAAATGGACTACTACTTTCATTTTCTAATTCTGAAATATAGAACTTGATCAAATAAAATAATAAACATAAGCAAACAAGTCAAATCAAACTAAATTAAACATAATATTTTTACTTTGGTAAACTGAACTTCAAACCAAACCAAACCGAAACCAAACTGAAACACAAATGGTTTTAGTTTGGTACAAATTCTCCCAACCCGAATAAACCGGAGAAAACTGAACCGAAACCGAAGAAAACCGAACCTTAAACCGAATTGTCCACCCTTAGTGCCAGCCGTACAGCCGGCTGTATGGTATACGCTTCCCCTACTCTTCTGTTTTATACGATAGTATATACTCCGTTTTTAACGTATCTCACTTTAATGTTCTTAGGATCTGCCAACTCTTATGATTGTATCAAAGGTGAGTGTAAAATGTGAGATATTATTACATGTTAAGTTGTCCAATTCGCACCCTTCAAGGTTAATAATATACATTCTAAAAGTGATATTTTACCAAAAAGTTGTATATGAATGCACAATTCTTTTATATATAATTTTATTGGTTAGTAGGATAACACTAAAAGAGGGGGGAAAGGCACCACACGCTTCAACTCATATTTAGTTATGAATACTAAAGAAAGTCGTCTTATTTAAGAACATTTTTGAAAAGTATGTGCATAGATTTATGTCATTAGGACTGGATATGTTAACACCCCAAATAATATGCTGGGCAAGGCCTATCATTCCTGAAGGCTGAAACTGAAAGTGTACATCGTGTTTTGCCTAATTAAATCACAATTTCAGGCAATCTCCGCATAGATGTTTTTCTCATGACAATAATCTTGTTGATAACTAATCATGCAAAGAGGATTGATGAACCTAATTACCTAATACGCGCATGATCCAGCATTATGTTGTTGATAATCAACTTGATGTAATATCTGGTATATATATATATATATATATATACGGAAAAGATCCTGTCCAGCCGGATGGACAGGATCCTCCGTCCGGCCGCCGCCGTTTGGGGCGGTTCCCGGTGGAGTTTTTTGATGAAATTTTTATGGAATGTTCCTCATCAAGTCTAGTTTATCCACAAAAAATTTCAGCTAAAAATTCGATCGGGAAGGCAGTCAAATAATTTTTTGAAACATAACTGTGTTTTATATGTTTAAGTTGGAGCAGTTATCTTCAAAAAATTATTTGACTGTCTTCCCGATCGAATTTTTAGCTGAAATTTTTTGTGGATAAACTAGACTTGATGAGGAACATTCCATAAAAATTTCATCAAAAAACTCCACCGGGAACCGCCCCAAACGGCGGCGGCCGGACGGAAGATCCTGTCCCTCCGGCTGGACAGGATCATTCCTCTATATATATATATATATATATATATATATATCGATTAATCTATATATATAAAGTGTGCAATACATTGGAACTTTCAATCATTCATCAACAAAAGTAAAGGTAAAAAAGCTTTACATATATGGACAAAGAAAGAGTAACTAAATTGTTGCTGGTGATCTTATGTATTGTCCTGGTAAATGAGGTAAGCTAATGTAATACCACAAGATATACCAATAAGGTTACATTTATTTACTAAAAGTCATTGCATTATTTTATCAAAATTAAATGACCGCATTAGCATATTTGAGTTCATTAGATCTTCAATGTAGTGTGGTGGACAAGAATCCAGTTATCGTTGTCCTACGAAATACTTCCTCCGTTTTTAAATAAATGCAACGGTCAACATTTCACACTTGTCGAGACACAACTTTAACCATTAATATATATAAATTTAAATTAGTAAAAAAATTAAAAAAATAGATATTGAATATTTACAATGAGACAAATTTAACAATATTTTTTCATAAAAATATATTCATACATCAATAAATAAAACGTAGTCAAAGTAGAACATGTGAATAGTGTAAAATTTCATATGTTGCATTTATTTAAGAACGAATGTAGTATTTCAGAATTCTTTTGGTGTTACCCCGTTTCTTTTAATTAGGATCCGATTATTAATGTTGTATCAGTATAAAACGGAACATGATCAGGAAATTGCAAGGTTACATGTCTCGTTTGTATGATTATATATCGTTTTTTAGCATTTGATTAATTCGTAGTGCAAGCTCAAAAAGAAAATCATATGTAGTATGCTTTTAATTTTTCAAGCCCAAATTTTCAATTCAAAAAATAACACCTAAAGTAAATATTTTAAAACCTAGGTTTCTATCACTATATATTTTCTCACAACTAAATCACATTATTTTGAATAAATTATTCACTTTTGCTTCATTTTGAATTATAATTTTAACATTATGAGCATATTTAATAACGTTGACCACATCTATAGTATAGTGACTGTTTAATGAACCAAATAAGCAATAATTTAGTAACATATTCTTTTTCCTTCATTCTAAGGTTTATATATTTCGTTATGACGTATGTACACGCTCTCTAATTGATTGCCATTTTCAGGTGGAGATACTTAGTGCTCAACAACTCAAAGCTTCTCTTATAGGTAACAAAAGCGTGTGTAGCTAGAGTTTTTTTTTAAATAACCAAAGAAATTTGATATATCAAAATTTAATATCACGTTGTCGCTACTTCATTCAATGCTTACCAGTTACTACTTTTCATAAGTAAATAATGAAAAATATATGATGAAAGTATATGTAGGGGACACAGTATAATTTTTTATACTTCATGTTAAGGTTTACATTATAATATAATGGTTGAATCATAACCTTTATCTTAATAATATTTTAAGAAAACTCTCCTGAATATACTACAATAATAGAGTTTTTTTGGAATTAATGCTAAATAAAAAAATATTTACGAAATTAGGGTCGGGTTAAAATTATTTAACAAAATATTGTTGGATCTAATTATGGTAAACCAAAATCGCCAAACGAAGTTGCCCCACTTTGAAGTGGCCAACTTGTTCGGCCACTCTCACATAAGGGGGAGCATCGGACGGGTTCGGGTGGGACGGGTGATGATTTGGCATACCCGTTCGGTTATCGGGTTAGGAATTTAAAACCCTACCCTGTTGAATAAAAAATCCGGGCTACTCGGGTTGCCCAATTTCGGATTCCGGTCGGTTTTTATCGGATATTCGGGGTCATTCGGGTTGATTAAAGCCATTAAATAACATAAAATTTTGTGATATTAACATCATAAGAAAATCACAAATCACAATGTCACATTAAAATATAAGTTTGTAGAACAATACAACATTAAATTAGAATACAAGTAACTAAGTAAGTAAGTAAGTAAGTAACAAGTTAACAAATAACCAGTAGCATAATAATAGAGTTTGTATTTTAGTTTGTACAACTCCATGTCTCCAAACACAGTTAATTACTTATACCGTTGTTACTTAAACACTTATGCATAATACAGTTTGAGAATAGAGTTTGACTAATCCAAACTTCCAAAGTTCCAAAATATCAAGTAGCAACAAAAAAATTAACATAGTTCCATGATTCCTGCTTCCATATCTTCACATATACATTCCTGCTTCCAGAGTTCCATGTGTGTAGGCAGTGTAGCGGACCAGTAACATAATAGTCATTCAATATGTTCCTAGGTACATGATAAGTCAAAAAATTAGTACAAGTCTAGTGTTTAGGTTTCAGATTTAGCTTGACTTAAAAAAAATATGTATGAATACTATATACAATCAGGTTTGGCTCAGGTTTAGCTTCACTTGAATCACTTCACAATAAATGGGGGCATTCAAAACTATATAGAAATAGAATCAATACCAACCCATTTGTAGAAGTGTAGAAGGCTAGCAGAGTAGCAGCTTTCATCATTGCCAGAAATAAGTAAACAATTAATGTAAATGAGGGCATAGGAAAGTACATAGAATGATAGAAATAGAACCAACACAAGCTGCCATCAATTTCATTACTTGGTCAAAGCTATCATCATTACCAGATATATGGAACACTGGAACAATAGTATACAGATATAACATCATATTCAAGTACTTGTTGCAAAATGCTAGTAGACAGTAGTAGGGGCATAGTTTGGCTCAGATTTGCATTCACTTCACTATTAATGGGGGCATTGAAACCATATAGAAATAGAATCAACACCAGCTACCATTAATTTCATTACTTGGTGGAAGCTATCATCATTGCCATAAATATGGAACACTGGAACAAATAGTACAAAGTTACATTATAAAATTCAAGTAGTTCCAACAAAGTGCAAGTAGCAGGGGCATAATTTGGCTCAGATTTACATTCACTTCACTATTAATGGGGGCATTGAAACCATATAGAAATAGAATCAACACCAGCTACCATTAATTTCATTATTACTTGGTGGAAGCTATCATCATTGCAATAAGTATGGAATACAGGAACAAATAGTACAGAGTTACATTATCAAATTCAAGTAGTTCCAACAAAGTGCAAATAGCAGGGGCATAGTTTGGCTCAGATTTACATTCACTTCATTATTAATGGGGGCATTGAAACCATATAGAAATAGAATCAACACCAGCTACCATTAATTTCATTATTTGGTGGAAGCTATCATCATTGCCATAAATATGGAACACTGGAACAAATAGTATAGAGTGAAACAACATTACCATGTCTAATGTCTTGTTGTCACACACACACTTAGGGGTGAAATTGTACCAGTGAATAAGCAACACTTCCAAAGTTCCAATTACCATCAAAGCATCAAGGCCTCCAATTAAGCATTTACAGCGAGAACATTGACAGAATCATAGCATTTTATTAGTGAAGTAACATAGTACAGCATATAAAAGATAAAGTATATGTTTTACTACTATCTGATCAAGAGAAGGGCCTCCACCAACATTTCCTTCAGTCAATTCTGCATTGAAAACAAAATTAAGTTAGCAATAACATCATATATAAATACTGAATACTAAAAATGTAAAAGTATGTACCTGTTTCCAGCCTGTCTACCTCCTCAATATTTTCTTCAACTGACACAGGCTGGTTGGACATCCTTAACCAGTCTTGAGCACATATGAGTGCTTCTACAATTTTGGCACTCAATGAACTCCTAAAACAATCCAACACCCTTCCACTTGTACTAAATGTGGACTCAGAAGCTACTGTGGAAATAGGAACAACAAGAATGTCTCTTGCCATCTTAGATAGGATAGGAAACCTCTCACTATTAAGCTTCCACCATCTCAATATATCAAATTCATTGTCCTCCTCAAGAATGTTCTCACTCAAATATAGTTCAAGTTCATTTTTTTTCAAGCCTGAGAGGCCACTATCTTGTTTTTGCTTTTTCAATTGGGCTTTGAATTTAGAAACAGGCCTACTTCCACTTGACTCAGATTGTAAGGAAACAGAATTTGGGGTTAATTGAGAGCTTCCACTGACTGAAACATCATAGTTTGTAACATAATCACCATACAACTCAATCAAACCCAGCTTTATCTTTGCAAAGAATGCCTCACCTATCTTATCCCCATACAAAGCATTCAATTGATGTGGCATGTATTCATATTTGTCTCTAGGGTCAAGCACATTTGCAAAGAAAATTAACATGTTCATTTTTTCTGGATCACCCCAGTACTTATCCAGTTTGGATTTCATACTAGTCCCCATTTTAGATACAGATGCAGTTTTAGAAGCAACCATCTCTTTGAGAACAAGGAATAAATCAGATATTTCAGAGAATAAGGAATTTGCACTAACATAAAGAGATCCTGAAATCCTAAGTGTCATATCATAGAAGTTTTGAAGAATGACCACCAAAGTTTTAATTGCAATCCAGTCCCCAACATCAGGACTGTCACTCCCCAGGTCAACAAGATGGGAACTCTCATTCTCCTCATAAGCTTCAAACACTTTTTTCATTGGACATTGCAGATTTCAGCATCAAATAGGTAGAATTCCACCTAGTTGGGACATCTAGGTGCAATCCAGCTTTAGTTTCCATTCCAATCAAATCTGAAATGTCCTTGAATTTTTTAAGCCTAGCAGGAGAATTTCTAACATACTTAACAGCATCCCTGACTCTTTGAACAGAAGAATCACTTTCTTTTAAACCATCTTGGACAGCCAAATTAAGGATATGAGCAATACACCTCATATGAAGGTACTTAACTTTTACAGAAGAGGCACCCCAAGATAAAAGTTTCTTCTTAAAAAAGCCAATTGCAGTGTCATTACTGCTAGCATTATCAACAGTCACAGTGAAGATAGATTTCAATCCCCAATCTACTAGGCAAGACTCTAGGGCTTTAGCTAAATACTCTCCTTTGTGGGAAGTCACAGGACCAAAGGAAATTATTTTTTTATTCAGCTTCCACTCATTATCAATGAAATGTGCAGTTATACACGTGTAATTGATCCTTTGTACAAAGGTCCATGTGTCAGTTGTTATACTGACCCTCTGAGTGTGTTCCCTAAACAACTTTTTCAGACTTACTTTCTCATCTAAGAAGATTTGGTAGATGTCTCTAGCAATGGTCCACCTGGAAGGAATTTGGAACCTAGGACAAGCTACAGAGATAAACTTCCTAAATCCTTGTCTGTCCACAAATCTAAATGACAGCTCATCAATGATAAGCATTTCAGCAAGTGCTCTCCTAATTGCACCCTGATCAAACACCCAAGTCCCCAACACCCCAATGTTTTCAGATGTTAGATTACACTGGACTGGTTGGAAAGTGAGAAGGGCTTGCCTAGCATCCTTTGAGGCAGGCAATTTCAGACAACTAAGTATGTGATTTCTAAGAGAAGAAGTGTCATTCTTCTTAGACTGACAACAATATGTTTTTGCACAATGTATGCATCTTCCTTTGATAACAACACCGTTACTATCTTTGATCTTAACAAACTGATCCCATATTTTAGATCTGGACTCAACCTCCTTTCTCTTATTTCCAGGAACATTTGTCTGCTGTGTACTGGTGTTAGCCCCAGCATCATTAGCTTCCACCATAGGTTCTTGGGTAACAAGAGTCAGAGGAGGTTGAGAACCAGATGCAGGTATGCTATCCATACATTCAACTTCCATTCTGATAGGTCATAGGAATATATAGTTCAAAAAACTCAATGCAAGCATCACAGAATGAACACAGCATCATACATTCACATTAAAAAATTCACATTAAAGTCTGGAACAATCAGCAAGCTGGTCTACAGAAGGATATAAGCAGTTGGGTTATTCACTTCTCTACAGACTTAGAAGATGCTAGTTCACTCTAACTACTCCTTTGAGTGTTTGAGTAGAGAAAGGCAACTTCAACACTTGTCAGAAACTCAGAATAAATCAACAATCATCTTTTTACTCAGCAACTTGTATTAACCAATAATCAGAAATTATTGGTTAAACAAAATATTTGTATGAAAGCATCATATTTCTGATGGATCCACATTATAATTTACACATAATCAGAGAAATTGGCAAGCTTCCACTCGAATCTCATAATCACATATTCTCAGACATGACCAAAGCATCACAGAATGAACACAACATCATACATTCATACATTCATATTAAAGTCTGGAACAATCAGCAAGCTTATCTACAGAAGGATATAAGCAGTTGGCTTATTCACTTCTTTACAGACTTAAAAGATGTCAGTTCACTCTAACTACTCCTTTGAGTGTTTGAGTAGAGAAAGGCAGCTTCAACACTTGTCAGAAACTCAGAATAAATCAACCATCATATTTATTAAGAGGACATTTATATAATAATCTCATAATCGCACAAGAATCATCGAGGCATCATAGATAAACAGGTAGTTCATACAAAGGATTTCACATTCCGAATCTAGGGTTTCAAGCTTCCACCAAACACATAACAGTGCATCAAAATAACACAACTAATTCATTTACAAAAATGATAACACATCACATTTAGGGATCGGGCTTCCACAGTTCCACACTTCCACCAAAGCACATTTCAAAGCCAATTTGTTAGATCGGAAGATGCATGACCAAGCATTGAGTTAAAGTATTTAACGTTTATACCTCAGAAAGATCAAAGAATTCAGATAATCGAATGGGTTGCAACTTGCAAGCTTCCACAAATCCACAAGGACCACAAGGCCGATACGCTATAATCGGCTTCCACAGTTCCACTGAGGCAGAGAGGCTAATAGAGTAACACGTACAGACTACTACCAGTCTACCAGAGAGTGACCGAATGTCTGAGTGGGTAAGCTGGATGCCGATGGTTAGAGAGAAGTCGGAGTAGGGGAGAGAGTCAGAAGAGTGGAGGCGCTAAAGTAGTGAAGTGGTAGGGTTGGGTTTAGGGCAGAATCATAAGTATATATACTTAGGGTAGTTCGGGTTTTCGGGCGGGTCGGGTAGCCATTTATAATACCCTACCCGTAACCCATAACCCTTAAAACATGGGCTGGACCTTCCGGTTCGGGTTGTCGGGTTCGGGTAGACTGACTCGTGCGAGTATTTGAGAGCAAACCCGATCGGGTTTGCGGGTGGGTTCGGGTACTGCTCACCCCTACTCTCACATGCGAAATGCGTAACACGGAGCCAAGGCATCAAAAGAAAGAAAAGAAGTACAGGGCCCATGATACAAAGATCCCTTTTTTTTTCTTTAAAGGTCATAACTTTTTCTTTTTTGCTCAACAATTTATAAAAAATATATCAAAATTTATACTTTTTTATTATCTTTCATTTGACACAAATATTGGATATATAAACTTTAAAAAAATTTAAAGGCTTATTAAACGACCTTCTTATTTTCCAATCTCCATACGGAATATTTTAAGAAATAATTACATATTTATGACTAAAATAAAGATGGTTTACAAATTTGTGACTAGTAACTAGAATAGTAATGGAATTATAGTAATTTATATTCAATTTTTAAATTTAAGTTAGCATAACACTATATGGTACTAACTATTAGTTATATTTGTGTAAATAAATTTTATTTTGTTAATATTTTTGAAACAAAATTTATATTGTCTTTTATTATGCGCTGAGAATAAAAATTTATGCTAATAATATTTTTCTGCGCATAAATTTATGTTATTATGCGCATAATAAATGACAATATACATTTTGTTTCAAAAATATTAATAAAGTAAAATTTATCTACACAAATATAACTAATAGTTAATACAATATAGTTTCATGCTAACTTAAATTCAAAAATTGAATATAAATTATTATTGTTGAGTTTAATCCAACACGATATAATAAATATAGATATAATTTGGTATGAACACTCGATCTGTACGTGGAAATCCGAAAGGGAGAAAAGCATGGGCCTATTTGCACCTTTTCCCTAATTTTTATAAAAAGTTTAGCAAAAAAGAAAAAGTTATGGACGAACAAAAAAAAGATTTTTGTATCATGAGCCCATACTTTTTTTTTCTTTCTTTTGATGCCTTGGCTCCGTGTTACTTAGGATGTTTTTACTTGGACTGTAATTTGCTGGTCTGGTCTGGTCTGGTCTGATCTGGTCTGGTATGAAATGGTCTAGTCTGGTCTGGTCTGAAATGGTCTGGTCTGATCTGGTCTGGTCTGGTCTGGTCTGAAATGGTCTGGTCTGTTCTGGTTTCTTTGTATTTTTATAACTACCCAAGTCTGGTCTGGTCTGATCTGGTCTGATCTGGTCTGGTCTGGTCTGGAACAAATTACAGTCCAAGTAAAAACATCCTTACTTCGCATGTGAGTCACCGAACAAGTTGGCGACTAGAGAGTCGCCGCTTCGTTTGTCGACTTTGGTTTGTCATGATTAGATCCAATAGTATTTTGGTAAATAGTTTTAATCTGATCCTAATTTCGTAAATATTTTTTTATTTACATTAATTCCGAAAAAAAACTCAAAATAATATGGAATATCACGCTTTTAGATGCACCGAGCAGTAACTTGAGTCACATGTTTTATTTAAAATATACTCACTCCGTCCCAAATTGTATTGCAAAGTCAACATTTTTTGTCAACTAATAATAAAAGTCAATCATCTTTATTGATAATTATTTCAATTTTTAATAATAAAAATTTACATATTCAGAAACTACACTGAAATCTCTTCAAAGTTGCAACCTCCAGACTAGAATATAATTAAAAATTTACATCCTAATTAAGCAAATAAAATGAAACTGTTTGACCAAGAAAAGTCAAATTTGCAAATTAATTTGGGACGGAGTAGTATTACATCTGGCTACCTTGAAATATCAGGCTCTTTTTACCTCTACTTTGAGGAATACTCCCTATTCCAATGAGTAGTATTGGCTCTCTTCTACTAACATTGAGATATGAGAAAGTGATACGGTATTAAGAAAAGTTAATATATGTGATTGATATTAAATTAATGAAGTAAGAATAAAGTAAGATTAATTTAGAATCACAAAAATTGGACCAAATTTAGTACTGTATGTTTGTATGAGACAACTTTAGTGGGACGGGCTCATCGAAAAGGAAATATGTGACATTCTTAGCGGGACAGAATTGAAGAGTATCTATTAATTAAGATACTAGTATTGAATAACAATTTTTGAACAATTTAGTACTTCCTCCGTCCTGCTAAGATGATTTCATCTTTTCTTTTTTGATATTTCCCACTAAGAATGTATCATATCAAATTTGGTAAGATTTATGTGGTTTTAAATC